TGTCTCTCAAAAATAAATAAATGTAAAAATAAAATAAAATAAAATGAAAAGAATGTCTCTGGGTGGGGCAGGGTGGGGAGACAGATACACAGGAGAACGGCCTCAGAAACACCACTCAAACGACATTATTCACCCATTCATTTTTTGGGAGGGAAGGATTGGTGCTCTGACAATTTCCTTTTTCAGTCTAATTTTATTTTCTGTGCATTAAATACAAGCCACTAGGAATATTTTTTCTTTCAAATCAATGAGATGCTTTTTCAGACAGAATCATGAGTGGAGTGTCACTATCTACAGCAGATAAAAGTCACGGTGCTGTGGGTGGAGGGGACATGGAGGGACGGGGCATGCTGTCTTTTCACCCATAGGGCACACCTTGAGGCTTCTCTTTCAGGCTTAAGCGCCTCTAGGAACATAGTGGACAAGCCCCCATTGTCGTCTCTTGCCCAAAAGGTAGTCTTCACCCAGTCCCTCATATCCCGTTTTCTGCTCCCTGTCTTTCCTACTCTGAGGATGTGAACTGCAAACGAGCCTGGGATCTTTTCTAGAACCTCCTGGGTGGTATGGTAAGCAGCCAGGAAGCTCCTTGAGAACATCTGTTGATTCACACATTTATTGAGACCTGGTATCAGGCAGGCATTGCACGGTCTCGTGAGAAGCAGACAGATACGACGTGGTCCTTCCCTCCAGGAGCTAACGTCTGTTCGCCCACCACACCCAGACGGCTCTGATGTGGGCGCAGAGCATGTGCTGCACCGACTCGACACCCCTTGCACCATCCATCCCAGGATTTCTGCCTCAGTTTCTCATTGTGCCCCCCGGCCTTCTTCTGCAGTGAAGCCTGGCAGTCAGGGTAACCTCCTTTTCCTGCTTTGTTTTCAATCTGTCACCATCACCAAGTGTGGCCCAGCCCTCCCCCACAGCACCTCTCAGACACACCCTTTCCTCTCCATTCCTCTGGCTGTAATCCGAAGTCCGGGCCCTCACCACCTCAACCTGGCTTCTTTCAACAGTCTGTGAATGCCTTCAGGTCCTGTCCTGGAGGGTTCTTCCTAAGGCACCGTTTTCCTCATGTGCTCTCCCTTTTCTAAGGGTGGAAACTCTAATGGCTTCCCACTGCCCACAGGCACCTGACAGGCTTCTCCAAAATCTGACTCCCTTCTCTCTCGGTGCTCAATAGTCACCTGTGCTGGCCGTTCACTCATGTTGTCCCATGTCACCGGTGTTCTGCCATTCTGGAATCACCCCTCACCCCTCTCCCAGGGTCTCCCTGACCAGCCCTGCCCGCACCGAAGGCCAAGTTCTTCTCCATGAGCTTTGCCTGTATCTCTAGGCACTGCCTGTCACCGAAGGGGGATCTTCTCTCTTCTCCCCTCTTCCCTACTTCCCCATTTTTCTTCCTTCTTATCTCCCTTAATTTCTTCAAACCTTCATTGAGCACTGACTGTATATCAGACACAGAAAGGAACCGAAGTAAATGAGAAACGGAGGGTAAACTCTTGAGGGTAGGGGCCACGGCTGTCTTTTTCATCTTGTATTCTCAGCACCTGGTCCGGTGTGTAAGCAGCAAATAAACTCAAGCTTGTGACCTTGTGGCCTACCTATGCTAGTTTGGCTCCTGAGA